CCAGTTAACACTGGCCAAAATTCAAAGTGGAAAGGTTATATATCTGAGAGCTGCAGTAGCTGCCTGTGCACTTGTAATAATGACTTGGCTGTACAGGTGAGGCCAGCAGGACGCAGGACAGAAACTTGGGGCCAGAATCACAGGCTGTGCAATGGGGAGCCAGCAGGAAAAACAGGGACGTCTTTTTCATAAGATGCATAGAGAAAGAAATTGGCATTAAGCTGTGCTTTAAATGGCAAAGGCATCTTACCTATTGGCCTCTACTTAGAAAGGAAACAAGGAGAGTGGATTCTGGCATGGTACTATAGGAATAACAGAGCTATCATAAAAGGACAGGTATTTCTTCTTCTAGAAGCAGCTTATGTCAGTCATCTGAGCACACAAAGCCCAGTGGGTAGAGACCCAGAGCCATAGGATCAAGGGCTTCTTGTTCTCTCTGAGCTCAGAGCCCACCTGCATTTGGCACAGGGGCTGTAACCTAGCAGCAAACTGCAAATAAGGGTCTCCCACAGCCCTGCCACCCCCCAGCTCAGCCTCATGCACCCCCTCTCCTTTCTCCTCACAGTCTTCCCTCGTGCCAGATGCCACAGCCAACATCCTCTGTGAACAGCAGTGCACTGCGTGCCTGTGAGCTACAGGGAGGAGCTGCATCCCAGGCAGATGGGTAGGAGAACTGGATCTTGAGAGGTCTATCTCCTGCCAGGGGAGGAAGCACCAGCTCTGGCCTGCTTTGCCTGAAGAAAGGGCTGCTTTCAGCACTATGAAGCTTCAGTTTGGGTCACCCTTGGATGCACGTAGAGGTGGAGTCACACCAGTACACTGGCATCCATTGGAAGGATGAGGGGGCAAGTGGAGGATTTAAGTTCCATATGACAGTGTAGTTAAATGGAAACAAGGCAACAATTGGTGGGGAGAAATCTGAGGTTTAATGTTGCTTTTGACCTAGTGAAAACAACTGGCTGCTCAGGACATATTTTCTCTATTTTTTCAAACCCTTTCCCCTTTTCCTTCCTGCTGTTTTACTTGCAGTGCTCTTCAAGTGCATGTGTTTTGACCTATTTCTTCTGCCTATGCCTAATAAAGTACAAGAATGCTTAGTGCCTATTAGATAATGTATTTCTTCATAGGTTTGCAGATGCTCTTATGTATCGACACATGCCCTGAGGGCTTCACTTTGGTTGGCAAATAGCACTTCCTAATGTGCTCACCACTTAAGACTGAGTTTGACTTGCTGGCAGGGAGGCTGTCTCAGCATGTTACCTCTGCAACATATTTTGCTGTCTTATGTTTTGTTTGTTTGTGTCCTGTCTCCCAGATGGAGTAGAGGAGCACTGCACGGCCTGTGGCAGGAGAAAGCACTCTGCAATTCCCAGAAAAGGCAGTCCCTAGGGACTGTGAAAGCAGTCACAGCCTAATGTAGTTCTTTGGTTGACCTGGTCTTGAAAAAGTGACCTCAAAACTAGGTGGGGGTTGCATTTTGTGAGCTCCAAACACTGTGGGTTCTGATTAGATGTGCTACAGCCACTCCCCAGATTTTTTTAAAGCTCCTGGGACAGGCTTTAGGAGGTTGTCTCCTGGCAGAGTCTCTGGAAGAAATATCATGCAACCACAAATCAGTGACTGGTGCTTACTACAACTGGGGCAGTAAGTGCAGCGGAGACCAGTCCCCAATCACCTGGGGCAAGGGGATTGAGAGAAGGTCTACAAAACAGAGTTGTGCTCAGATTTTGGGGCTCAATAGCAGAGATTTGGGCATGTATGGGACTCAGGGCAGCGGTCGTGGTGTCACCTAAAGATTAGGATCAGACTGTGATGGTAGATAGTAAAGCTAGAAGACGAGTGACAAAGGGATGTTGTTGCAGTCTGTATTTCTATAAATGCATTCATCTTCTAAAGTAATTAATGAACGGTGACAGGTCTGTTGCATTTTTAGCTCTAAGACCAGAGGTGTATGATAGACTGCATGGTGCACTGCCTACACAGAGCTTCATTAGTCATCTTGCTTGTTGGATTGCTGGGGAAGAAATCATTTTTGTGGTACTGCAACTTTCCATTCTCTTTATTCCTTGTTCTCCATAGTTTTGCTTTTCCCACATTCAACAGTTTTTCCTGTAATTTACTGTAATAAATAAATAAAAAATACAGTATTTTATTTGTCTTATTACAGTATTTTATTTTATTGTACTTTATTTGTCTTTGTTTTTGCAAGCTGGGGTAGAGGCTGCAACATTTTCTTAATTTAGTGGTGACTCAGGAGGTACATGGTTTCTCCTGGAACTAAAATATGAATACATTTTATTTAGATTTATTTTAGTTATTGCTTCACATTTAAAGGTTTGTGTGGCTTTTATGTTTGGTTTGGGGAGAGGTTTGTGTCTCATGAGAGTTGATTTTGAACTGAAAGAGCAAATCTGCTAACTTTTTGGTCACATGCATTGTTTTCACTTGCAGGAACATTCATTTGACTTCCTGCTAGTCATCCATTTCCAAAGCATTTTGAAAGGTTCTTATTGTTGTCAAATCATTTGTGTGCAATAGACTACATCCCAGTGATTCCTTCTACTTTCCTTTTACTTTGTGCCAAATAAAGTCATTGGTGTATTAGTTATTAACTTCTTGCTTGTACAGATTATTTGGAAAACACCTAGAAACGAAACTTTTTTTGCACTGTATCAATTATTCAAATTGCTATTTGAATCCTTGAATTTAGTTCAACATATTTAAATGACAACAAACATCAGCTTTCCTTCTGTTGCTGGTGTGGGATAGCTACTGTTGCCAGAAGAAACTGAAGTGAAATTAGATTATTGTATTACTTGACCAATGTGGTGCACTTTATTCCAGATAAAGATGTATTCAACTATCTTAGATGCAATTATTTGTATTTTTTACATGCACTGCCTTTAATGAAAGGGAATAAAACTGTGAGCAAACAGGTCCACTGTATCTCCTGTGGACTTCGGGCTGCAATTGTGAATGCTTCGCTCTTCCTAGAGTTAGATGCCTTGTGCAAGACTCCCAGAAAATGATAAGCACATAAGTTGCAGCCAGCTATAAAATCAAATGGCCTCCAAGTCATCACATGGCATCACCATAGGAAAGAACATTGCATCTGTCTAACTAGCTTCAGAGGTGCACTGCTAACTCGAGTTGGCCTCTCTGAGCCAGTGGCTCAGTCCTGCCAACAGTATGGTCATGTTTTTCACCCCTGTGTCTTTCAGCCTGCCCAAAGGTCCATGCTAGACTGTTATCAATACCCAGGTATTAGCTCATGCCCGTGAACTCATGCACTAAAGATGCAGCTGCAGCACACACATCCTGTCTGGAACAGAGGCAGGAATAGCATCCATTTCCTCAAGGTTTCCTACACTCGTCTGTGAATAGTTTCAACAGCTTGCTCTGCAAAAATGTGGCACATCCTGAGAATAAGTCCATCCTGTATACTAAACAAAGGCAAGGCCTTGCAAAATAAAGTAAGGCCAGAAACAAAATAATACTGGACTATGTAATTTTAGACTGTCCTGAAAGTACAAGCAAGGGGACTGACATGAAGTCACATAATCAGTCTTCTGGTATTTCATGACTTCTAACTGCTTTGTTGTGCAACCTTAGTGATTTTTAAAAAAATTGGTTTTGTGCCTATTATACTTAGGTGAACCAAAGGGTAAGGACTGAAGAGATGAGAGCTAACAGGAAAAAGGTATAGCAGAGTTAAATAAACTAACTTTAGAAGGCAGGTAATATACCTATGTACTTGGCAGCAGCTTGGTTTTGTAAAGGCCAGGATGTGAAGAGGGAAGACCTTGGGAACCTCTTGAGAGAAGGGGAAAAGTACAAAGGTATTTTCAGCTCAAGGGAAGACAAATTACAGAGGACTGAACTTTGGTTCTTAGCCCAGAACACACTGAAAGCCACTTCAGCAGACTACAGAGTGGGATAGTCCCTTAAGAATAGACAAAATTTCCAGGCTTTCAATCTGTTATTTTTATTACATGTACTCATAGGCTGTAGAAAACTGCTGCTGAGAATAGACTCCACCTCTGGTCATTCCCAGTGATAGCCATCAAAACCAGGAGTGGCTCTTCCAATAAGGGAAGCACCTTATTCTGATACAATGCTAAAAACATACTGTAAGCTCACTGAAGCATCATATAGAAAACTTTCAGATTAGAAGTGGTTAGGATTGTAACAATTGAAACAGGAGAGAATAACTAAATTATTAACAACCCCTCGGATTTTTTTTCTAGCATGATACACTCCTCTAAATAAAATACAGCATTGATGCAGCACAGAATTCCTAATAAACTGATTTTTTTCATCACTAGCAGAATTGTTTATTAACTTTCCTTTCAAATAGCAAGGCCCAGCCCCACGCGGTTGGGTCCTGAGGTATGGAGAGATTTTCCAGGAGCCCCATGACTCGCTCCTGTGTTGATCATAAAGTGTGAGGCTCCATTTTGCTCCTGACAACAGCTCTACAAGGAGGTAGTTCTTCTTCCCCTGAAGGCTTTCCCTGGGGCTTGATGGCAGAGGGCAGAGGTGCTGGGGAGGGAGAATCCTGCCCCCTCAACGAGGTACAGTGGCTTTCAGCTTGCTTGGCTTAACCTTCCCCGCTCCCCACACCTCGACACGCAGCCGGTGACAGTTTGTTAATTAGATGGTAATTCCCAGAGGCCGAAAAGGGGCTGGCGGGCAGGGTGTGGTTCGCTGCCCCCTGCTTTGCGGGACTCCCACGCCTTCTCGGGCTGTCGGCGGCGAAAGGCCCGGGGAGGGAGGGGAAAAAGGAAGAGGCGCGTCTGCGGCTTCTGCTAGAAGTTGATTAGAGAAAAGAAACTCACTACTGAGGGTAAGAGATAGCAGCGCTTTATCTTTCTTTGCGTAAGTCTCTCCACCCCCTGGAAGGTATTGGTATAAACGGAGGAGGAATTTGAGCAGGCTCGAGCCAAATAATATTTCTGTCTAAACACACAACGTGCTTCCTCCTACGATTTCGCTTCCAGATGGGGCTTAGCTGAACCAGCCCTCTTCTTCAGCCCAGTCGTAAGCACCACCATGTGGGAACCGGGCTGGAGCTGCTAGAGGCTGCAGCAGCAGCCTGGGCGGTCCTGAGCAGAAGCAACGAGCTCTGCCCTCTTCTCTGGGATCATTTAAAGATAAAATACCTGCTCTGTTGACAACCGGTAAGTGAACACCCCTGCTTTATAAAGTAAACCCTTGCACAGGCTGAGAGGGTGTCTGAACCCATAGGACTGGGTGCGGTGGAAGTGCTTGTTCCCGAATTTGCAGGACGTAGGGTCGTTGTTGTGAGACGTTCGAGGCTTGGACGCGAATGAATCTCGGGGGTCTTTCCCAACCTTAACCATTCCATGCTCTTCTCACCAGGCTCTCGCGTCATTTCAGACGGAAAAGCTTCCTGTTTTAACCTCATGTAGAGCCTATATGCATGCTTCTAATTTTAAAACCTGTTTCAGGTGAATACTGAGTGGCAGTATCTGCCAAGCGCATTGCTATTCAATGTAAATTACCGCGTATTCAAAGGCAGAGCTGCCTATTCCGATACATCAGCGTGTTCCTCGATGAAAGCATTCAAGGAATTAAATTGAATTTCCAGAGGGATGGAGCCTGCCCCTACAAGCCTCCTTTGAAGAGAATACAATTTTAATCGGCTTGAGAGCTGGTGAGATGAGACATCCCAGACCTTTCCCAGAGATTCCTGGGAACTTTCTGGCTAAAAAATTTTAACACCGCGGCGCAGCGGGAAGCCGGCTCCCGGTGGGGATGAGCCCGAAAGAAGTCGAGGCGCCGCCGCCCCCTACCTTCCCGGCGGCTCTCGGATGCGCTTGATGCCGCGGGCGGGCGGCCGGGGCCGGAGGGCGAGGCTGGGCTGAGGCGCTGCCCGGGGCCGCATGCGGGGCCAGGAGTCGCCCCCGGCCGGAGCGGGGCCCCCCGGCGGGCGGCGGGGGAGGGTCCGGCGAGCGGCCGGGCGCCTCCGCACACGCAGGTAGGCGGCTCTGGAGGGTCGTGGGTGAGGGGAAAAAGGGCCGCGTTTCCCCGGCTGCTCCCGCCGCACGCGGGGCGCGGAGCCGCCCGCCTGTCCCCGGCCTCCCGGAGCAGCCCCGCTCGCAGGCCGGGGCGGCGGGAGGAGCCGCCACGGGGCCCCCCGCGGGTCGCGGCGGGAGGCGAGCCCGGGGGCGGGAGAGTAAGGGGTGGCGGGGCCCGGAGCTCGCGGGGTGGGCAGGTCAGGGCAAGGTTGGGGGGAAGCGGGTTCATGCGGGCAGGACAGCCCCGCGGAGGGGGAGCCTCCAGGCGCTGCTGGCGGCGGTCCGTAAGTAAAATTTGAGGGGAGATTCGCGGCTTCTGCTAAGCTGCTTGGGTCGGGTAATCCCACCGTGTTGCCATGGCTGCCGGTCAGGCAAGTTCGGATAAAGGGTTGCTTCTGGCGAGGGTACCCTTGGAAATGCCGAAGGCCTCGGGGAAGGAACAATGGCTCTGTGGGCAGACTCGGCTTTAAGCTATGCAAATCCATTACTTGTAGTTTAGGGAAGAAACAAACCCTGGAAGTTTTATGTTCTCTGCTTTTTTTTTTATTATTAAGTATTTGGATTATTATTTGGCAGTCGGGGTGGTGTTTCTATTTTAGGTACAGCAAGCTGTGAGATCAGTCCTACTGTCCTTTCTCAAATTAAAGTTTACAAGGAGATGAACAGCTGATCTGTTGGGATTTGTGGCTGTTGTGTTCTTGTTACCCCACTGAAACTTTCTGTCCACATTTCTTTCATTTTTGTCTCTCTCTGTCTCCCACGTTATGCTGAGCTATTCTTGCAGACAGTTTGGTTGCAGAACTATTAAGAAAAGGATAAACTTTGTGATGGGATGAGATTACTTGTTTTAACCTGATAATTCTATTGCAGCTGAACTATGTAAAAATGTTATACGTAAAAATATCTGTTGTGGAGGGTGCCATGGTAGTAGACTGGTCACTCCTAACCTCAAAAAACTAAACTTTACTTTACTCACAGTAAATTAAAGTAAAAGGAAATATGTATGGAGCAGGGCTTCCTACCCATTAACAGGCAATACTCTTATCTGATTAGTCTCAGAAGTGATATTTATGAAACTAAAACAACTTTCCTTTCATATGTAATGTTGCACCAGCTGGATCTTTGTTTTCTTCCTAACTACATGAAATAAATCTGTGGATCTTTTTTCCCAACCTGATACAGTACCTGCTTCTTTAGCACGTCTGTCTGTGCTGAACTGAAGCAGTCCATTAAATTACTCTTTAAGCTTACAACTGTTTATTTAAGCAGCAGAATTAAAAATGGGTAAGCCTCATGGGCTCCCTGAGGGTCATCTTGGCTTTAGACGACCTTTCCCTCTTGTGGGATGTATAAATGATCCTCTGAGATTTCTGGAGGAAAAGTTCTCTGTGGAAGCAGTTGCCAGTTGGGGAAGTGCCCGTGGGAGCAGCTGCAGAGTGTACAGTCACAAGAGTAAAACCTGGAAGCTGGCAGAAAAATCACGAGTCCTGAGTTATAAACAGGTGGGGAAATATGTGTTAGACATGGTAGACAAGGTGATTGGCAAGACATTATGTTGATGTGTACCGTGGGCCCTGCTAAGTAATGACTTAAACAATTATTGAAGGGGAGTTTCCTCCCTGAGGAGGGAAATACAGCAGCTGATGTGGTGACGGATCTTATTTGTAGCAGGAAGCGCTTGAGATGCTTCTCCTTCACCACCTTCTCAGACTCTTGATAGCTTAACAGCAGAGACAATTTTAAAGGATTTGTTATGATTGCTTTCTTCCTTATGTGATCATTTTTGGATCGTTCTTACATCAGCTTATTTGTACCATTAATGCTTTTATCTCAGGCTTGTTTTCTTTGATAGTTTCTGGGCACACCATGATTAGTGCCTTTCCGTAAAGATTTGATCCATTCTCCCATGACAGATTTGGAAAAGTTCTCATAAACCCGCTTTGGCTGATGTGTGGTTTTCTGCTGCTTGCATGTTGCTTCATAGTCTCTGAACCAATATCCAGGATATTTTGGCCTGGAAGAGGATGCAATCAAATGGATCCTTTGAAAATAAAACTTGTGAGATCACCACGGCTCTCCTCAAGGCAGTCTATACCATTGACTCAAAGGTGATTCTGAGGAAAGGCTCTAATTGTTTTCCTTCACAGTATAGCTTGAGATGTAGCACAGGATCTTGGTTTGTCTTTGTTAACATTAAGGTTGTTTTACTTATAAGCACAAAAGGTTGTTTTTACTGTGTGTCTGATGTGAAATACTCTGCTGTGACTGCCTGGTTAAGTGCGGTTTAGGAATGGTCTCAAGGTTAGTTGAAATACCTCTTTCTACAGACATCTTTCCTTACAGATGTTTGCACTATTTTAGCTAAATTGGTTGAAATGTGCACTGTGTGTTGAAGAGGAGTTTAATTTAGCAGACTTAATGAAATTTGCTTTGTAATTCATTTGAATAATTTGTTCATCAGTTTCTCTAGCTTTATAGAGAAGTTAGTAAATAATATTGGGAAACTCATTTATGAGGTAACTCAATCTACAGGATTTTTTTTCATAGTCTCTGTTTTCTACCATCTAATTACTCAAAATACCAGGAAGAGAATAAAACCCCCCTGAACTTCTCTGTTAATCCAGTTTCTTCTAGTTTTGCTATGTTTCATGTGATTACTTCTGTTCATATTCATAGCCTTCAAGGGAAGTGAAAATAAAGCTACTTTTATGTATTATTTGTTGTGTGAATTTCCTAAAGTGTCAAATCTTTCTTTTATCATACTTCTGCAGAAGAGCCTCAAACTTCAGCTTTTCTTGATGTGTACTGAGGTTGGGAGGAAAATATGATGTGCAGGCTGTTGTTTTCTTTATAAGTTACCTTTCAATAGTGTGTAGAAACGAATCTGCTCTCACTTTGCAGTTCCGTGTATTCATCACTAGTACCAGTAGCTGCTATCTGTACAGAAAGGTTAATGGACAGTGTGGGCGGTGAAGCAAAAAGCTTGCATGCAGTACCACTGTCTCTTGAAAAATGGGTTGAAAAATGCAAGTGCAGAATGTGGTAAAATATTTTGCGACAGTGCTTCTTGCTGCATTCTGTACCTATCATCTGAAAATACCGTGTCCTTTTAAAGTTCATTTTGTTCAGGTGGATTGGCTCTTCAGTGCTCTAAGTTGGCCATCCTTTGGTCTTGAAGGCAAAAGTGAAGCCTTGATATCTTAAGAGGAAACACCCTTTACAGCTCTACCACAGAGTGAGCAAATTGTGTCCCCCCCTGGTAATACCCAAAGTTTGCGTGTAGCTGTTGTGTGTTACCTCTTCTCCTGGTCCCTGCAGCAGCATGATGTGCTAGAGCTGTTCTTTACATTCCAGTGTAAGTGGGGAGTCAGGAGAGGCAAGGCAAGAACTTGAATACTCTCCATTTGCCTTGGCTGAGAAGGAAGGCTGGGAAACTTCAGGAGCCACAAAACTGATCCTCCCTCCTGTTCGGAGGGCAGGAATCGAGCAACCATGGAACTGGTTTTAAGAGCAGCAGGAATGAAATGAAGGTCAGTCTTAATCATTAAAGCTCTTAACATCTGTTGATTTAAAGTGCAGGTTTCCATTCCCCTAGCAGGAATATTGCTTTCTTTTGGGCCACAAGCCAGTAGGAAACCTTATTTGTGAGGTATGTGGTCTTAGATTTTCACAGACTCTTCAACTCACTTTTAAAAGAACAGTTTCTAGCTCTTGTGGGTACAGGTCGTAAACACTACAGTAAGGATTAGCTGCTGCAGAGCTCAGAAAAGTTCTTTGTTAGGCTGGATCTGCAGACTGACCCAGCACAGCGGTATCCAGACACTGCTTTCTGCTCCTGCTCCTCAGGGTCCTAGGCCGGCAGTGAAATGAGAATGGTGTGGGGCTTGTCATCAGCTTACCCAGAGCCTTAGGAGGGGAAATACACCTATGTGATGGCCCTTTAATGGTACAAAAGGTGCATGTATAAAATACAAATGAAATCGCACGTGGGATGGGGGAGAAGTCCCTTTCCCAGGATAAGAAAGGAGCTGAAGTTATGTTTTTGCCATTAGCTTTTTTCTTCCCCCCCCCCCCCCCCCCCATGGTTAATGTAGGTCCCTCCTGGGCAGCTAATTTTTGCAGGTGTGTAGTGCTGACAG